ACGATGCAACGGGACATTTCGGCTATAAGAAGACTAGTGCTAACTTAGTACAACGATTTTGGTGGCCTAACTTGCTGGACGATGCGAAGAAGTACGTACAGACCTGTCAGGTTTGTCAGCGGGACAAGCCGCGGACTCAAACTCCGCTTGGGTTACTCAAGCCTCTACCCATCCTGCTGGCCCAGGGCAGAGTATCTCCATGGACTTCATGAACATTCTCGTGACCAGCAAGAATGGCAAGAGGCACACTTTCGTCATAGTGGATAGGTTCACTAAGTAAGCTAGACTAATCGCCATGCCAGAGACTGCCAGGACTGAGCACGTCATCAAGTTGTTCATGGACAACTGGGTGTGTGACTTTGGACTTCCGAAAACGATCGTCAGTGACAGAGATGTACGTTTCACAAGCGAGATGTGGAAGAAGGCCGCTGAACAGATGGGCAGCCAGCTTCAGATGACTTTCGGGAATCATCCCGAAGCAAATGGGCAGGCTGAACAGATGAACCGAGTGGTGCAGCATCTGATGAGGCATTGCATCAAGCCCAGCCAGGATGACTGGGATGAGAAATTACCTCTCATCGCCAGCCTATACAACAACGCTGTACACAGCACCACCGGCGTCAGTTCTAATCAACTGCATCTGGGGTGGAAGCCTAGATCTGCTCTAAGACTTCCTCCTGCCTGAAAACCGAACTGCTGCAACTCCTGGAACCATTGAATTCGGTGTCCAGTATGAGGAACTGTTGCAGCAGACTGTCGAACACATCAAGAAATCTCAGGAAGCCATGATTGCTTCTGAGAACAAGTGTCGCCGACAGTCCACATTTCAGGTAGGGGAACGTGTCAGGGTCAAGGCTAGTGAGTTGGGACAGGAGTTTGGCATCTCTAGGAAACTAATGCCTCAGTATTTCTGTCCCTGGGAAGTCCTAGACATTGTGGGGAATGATTTGGATGGTCCCTCGCACGTCATTCGTATCCCTGGTCACTTACGCACTTACCCTGTTTTTCACGCCTCCAAGCTTGCACCTTTCCCTGAGACAGCACAGTTCCCATCACGGAGATCTATGCTGCCCCCAACCATGGATGGCCACGTGGACGTCGACGACATCCTGGATCACAGAGACACGCCTGTTCCCAAGCCACCAGGCAGGGGAAGACCTCCCAAACCTGCGAGGGAATACAGAGTACATTTCAGGCATCATATGGATCCGAAGGAAGATCGATGGATTTCAAGGGAGGAACTTGTCAAGACAGCTCCTGAGATCGTGGCCGATTATGAGAAGAAACTGAAGGGGAAGGCACCAGCATGAAGCATTTCATCGGACTTTCGAAGCTAAGGGGGATGGAATGTGAGGAACAAGCCCTCAAGGGGCCCTGTCAGACATCACAATGTTCAGGGCTAAGGCCCCCAGCAAGCCAAGTGCCTGCCCTAAGTGCACTTCCGCATTGCCAGCGCTGGCCAGAATCGCTGGCCTGGGCTGCTTCCTTCCTTTTGTGGAAGTGGCAGCCTCCTGGATGCTGCATCTGGCCTGGCTGGAAGCTTCCAGTAGCTTCCAGTTGGGTCCCAGATCCTGCGCCCAGGCCCGGGACTACAGTTGAGGGCCTGGGCCCCCTTTGCAGTTAGGCACGGCCTGAGTCTCCGGACTTGGGCTGTTTGCTGCTCTCGCTTGATGCTGCGCTGCTGTCAAGGGCGCTGACGGGGCGCGAGAGGTGAAGTGGGTCGCTGCAGGGCAGTGGAGCGCAGGCAGCCATAGCCGGGCTGCTGGGCGCCAGGGGGTACAGCAGATGATCAGGTGGTCTTCAGGGAAGGAGGCGCTGTGCGACGTAATCAAGGTCTGATTGAGGGTGACGAGATACGTACCTGGTACATGAAGAGAGGTCGGCGACGGTGTTGGCAGTCATGTACATTGGTCTTCGAGAGTCGAAGTGATCCCTGTTGCGTGAACCGGCTGTAGGTAGGCTAGTCAGGTAGAGTAGGCTGGGTGCCGAGCACCAGACAGGAGAGAGCGACTTTGGATACTGTGTTGGTGTGGCCTGCGGGCTTGGACATTGGCTCATTACTTCATTGTATTGCTCTATATGGATGGTTTTCTCGGTGCATTTGTACTCTCTGCTTGGGACACGACTACTTGTTCAGCTGTGTGATTTCGCAACTTGGTTTTATGTATATCGCTCACACTCATATTCCTTGCAATCCGATCAATCTTACATTTGATGGTCAAGGATATAGGCAGAAATCCTGGTCCAGTGTGCCGCCCACAAAATGGTCTGCCTGGGTCCCTTCCACATGTCCAGGCATCCCTGCCGATGTGCCAGGAATGTCTGAAAGGGACAAGGGCTGGACCAGTACTGAAGGATAAAACCAGGTCCAGCCCAGCTGTGGACGAACGTCTGCTGGCCTGGAAAATGGCCGCTGGGCCTCAAAGCAGACAACATGGGGCACCGGTGCCTCCACTGGTCCAAACAGGCACCTGGACAAAGCAAAGTCTGAACGTCCTATCCCGAACCGGACAATGCTTGGAGCAAGGCAAAAAAATACTCGGAAAAATACAGTAATCAAATAACTGAAATAAGTTCCGGAAATATAATAACTGCAAATGAAAATACACAAAAAAGATCACAGAAACCCATGTCGCCGCGAAGGACCATACCAAGGGCCCTGACTCGAAGGCCGCCCAAAATGTGGGTTGTACGGCCTAATAATAGCCCCCAGGTCCAATGTTGGGCCCCTAGGGCCCACGTGGGGTGTCCGGGCATGCCCCTCTCTCTCTCTCTCCCTCTGTCTCTCTCTCTGTCTCTGTCTCTCTCTCTCTCTCTCTCTCTCTCTCTCTCTCTCTCTCTCTCTGTCTCTGTCTCTNCTCTCTCTCTCTCTCTCTCTCTCTCTCTCTCTCTCTCTCTCTCTCTCTCTCTCTCTCTCTCTCTCTCTCTCTCTCTCTCTCTCTCTCCCCCCCAAGGGCCCAGGTGGGTTTTGCAGCTGTGTGAGGGGTTCTCAATAAGTCAGGTTACTATCTGTAAATTTGTAAATCCCTACCCCTCTTCCTTCCCTCCCCCACCCCGCCCCTACCCTCCCCTTCCTCCTTTTCCCTGCCTCTCCTGCCACTGCAGAAAATTTGTAAGAGAAACACTAGGTTTTGACCTGGGTAGGGGAAAAGGGAAGAATGACAGAACCCTCTGGTTGTGAAATGACTGGAAGTGAACGATAGCATTTCTGGCCTACTTGATGGCTGGAAGATCTACTAGGTTCTGTCCTTCCCTCTTTCTTTCTCTTCCCTTCTCTCCCTTTTTTTTCTGCTTTTTAGGCGAAACCAATTCCTTATTGCTGACCGCAGAAGCTCTTCGCCCCTGGTCTTTGCGTCATCTGGCAATCAAGGTCCAGAGGTTGCCAAAGACTCTTGCATTTTCTTTGCCATTTGGAAGGTGCTGCCACCATCTCTACTCTATTGATCCAATTTCTAAAATAAAAAGAAACTCAAGCCATACATACTAAGAACGACGATGATCAGTAGACCGGAAGTAGACCGGAAGTGCACATAGATGCCTAGGCCGAACAGAGATCGGCATAGCTGGGACCAACCAAGGTCTTGATATTTTTACTATTGTTAGGACCTGCCAAACACTGACTGAGACGCACAGCTGATTTCTGAGTTTTGCCAATGGAACGCATGCCTTGCTGAGTTTCTCGCTTGTTGCTGAGTTTTCTAAGTCTGAGTGTGTGCGTGCTTGCTGGTCTGCATGCCTGTCTGAGTGCTTGTCGGTTTGAGTGTGGGTGTGACCCGCCAGGGTACTTGTCTGTGTGGAAGGCCCAAACGGCCGGTACTTGTGGCTGTGGCATTGAGAGTTGCAGCAGGGAAAACACTCAAGCGGCGGGGAAAGAAGCCCGCGACACTTGAAGCAGCGGAAAAACACTCGAGTAGCAGGTAGGCCGGTACCGCACCAGGTACAGGTAGATGTGCCGGGTACTTGAGGCTGAGCAGAAAAAGACAAAGTTGGCATTTTTAGAGGCCCAGTAGTTGTAGGCTAGGTCTACGCAAGTACCAGTCCGACCAGTCTGAGTCTAGGGCCTGTACAGGCAATATCACAGTCTGCAATGATGTTTCCCTCCAAATGGGAGGAGGTACCGGTTGCTTGGAGGCCGCGTGGCCTAGGAAGTCACTCGCCAAGAGGCAATCAGGCCGCTATATCTCCAGGAGGAAGGAGGTGCTCCTCCTAATTGTCGGTGTGCAAGTTTGGCGACACACTAGTTGGAGCGCTGGCTGGAGCAGCGCTAGCATCAGAGCAGCGTTGCTGGGGAGGAGCAAGGACAGGAGGAGGAAGAAGACCAGGACGAGGAAGGAGGAGCGCCAGAGGTACTTTACCTGGCTATGGTGGATGCCATCTTCATCACCTTGGTGGGCGCTGCATCTGGAAAGCCCCCGTTGGGGTAGAGCTACGCCAAGAAGCTTCGAGGCAGAGTCAGGCATGGCGGCCTGAGATAGAGCAGTCATAGCTGCTTTGTGTTGTCCTTTGCACAGTAGGGCAGTGCCCTGGTAGTCCGCCATAGCCTCTGCTGTGGAAAGGAGGAGGAAGAAGGGTGGCCATGGCATCATGTGATGCCTGCAGTAGAAGAGGGATTCGGACATTGATTCTGGTTCACCCATCCAACATTATTATTATTATTTCTTGTTTGAATAAGAGGGGAGGAGATAAGGAGGAGGAGAGTGGTTGGCGAAGAAGAAGGGAATTCTCATTGGTCTTTGCTGGTGTACATCTTCTTCTTCTTCTTTTTTTCATCATCTTCTTCTTCTTCTTTCCCTCTCTCTTCTCTCAAATTCATTCATTTCTTTTTGCAACTGGACGGCATTGTGCTTTCTGATGAATGTGTACTTCGAAATTGACCAGGATCATAGCACTATGGCTTTTTTTTATCAGAGGTTGCTTTTTCTGGTGTTTTCGAGATTTTGAAGAGTAGTGCTTGGTGTATTACTGACTGTTCTCTGTACATTTCTGTTCTGCTACTGCAGATTGTTCGTCTGCTTGCAGGACACCCATTTTTTCGGATAACTTTGATGACAGCAGACCGGAAAGCTGGATTGTCATTCCAAAATGTTTTTCCGCATCTAGGAGCACAGGTGAAGAGATCTTCTTAAACCATTGGTGTGTTCATTGTGTCTGCATCGTCCTCCGCTTTTCTACAGCAACGAGGGTGTATCACTGCCCGTCTCCTCTGCTTCGTGCGCTCCCCATGTCTCGTCTGCCTTGTTTCTTCTTCTTCTTCCTCTTCTTCTTCTTCTTCTTCTTCTTCTTCTTCTTCTTCTTCTTCTTCTTCTTCTTCTTCTTCTTGTCCTAGTTCTGCTTTTCTCTCTTCATCTTCATCTTTGTCTTTTTCGTCTTCATCATTGTCTGCTTCTTCCTTATTCTCCTTTTCTCCTCCTCCTCCTCCTCCTTCGTGTTGCTGCTTCTTCTGCCTCTTCTGCATCTGTGCCTGTAAGAGCTGAAGATATCTTTTTGATTTTATTCTTACCAATATTTTAAATTGGATGACAAGCTTACACATTGTCGTGGCTGCTATGTTGTGTGTTCTTCTCCATCCCTTTTGTTCTGTGGCTGCAGGAGCTTCCAGATCTGGTAGCAGTGAAGGATGCAGACTTTGATAATGTGGATGCTGTCTTCTGTTGCCTTCCTCATGGAACTACACAGGTAGTGAATCCCCTTTTCATTTGCTTAGGAATGCAATGGAATTCTTTAACATTTGCACTCTCATTGGGAAAGAAGAATGTCTTCTCTAATTTATCTTATTAAAGGAAGTACAGTGTCTCACATGAGACCACACGGGACCCAGGTTGCCCGGTTCTGCCCAGGGCACGACCTGCATGTTCAGGTACAAGTACACAATCGAGCTGTCACAGGCACTTTGTGCTTTTCTTTTTAATTTGTCGTGGCGTGATCTGTGGTTTTGCATTTGTTTTTCCTTTTTGTTTCCTGTAGTTATGCGAGTGGCGTGATCCTTGGTTTTGCATTTGTTTCCTCTTTTTTGCCCTGTAGTTCTGGGAGTGGCGGGATCTGTGATTTTGTGTTTGTTTTTTTTTCTATTTTTGGTCTTCTAGTTTTGAGAGCCGTGTGATCTGTGGAGCCTTGCGCCAACACTCAGTATGTATTTGGAGTTGTTCATATTCCTGATCCGTTCAAAATGTTAAGAGTGCGTTTTTGTTGGATCAGGCGCGCTTTGTGATTTGTTGTTTTGCGCCCTCTGCTGCGCAAAGCCGAGTTTTTGAATAGAACGAGATAGGCTTGCGCAAGTACCTGTACACAGCTGAGCCGTGTGGATGAGCAGTACAAGCCAAACTGTTCGTAAACAGGTCATAAGCTTGAAGTGTGATGGAATCAGATGTCGCCAAAAAAAAAAAGGGAAAGGTGTTGAAGGCTTCAAGCACCCAGTTTGCGGATTAGCAGCAAAACGTAACTGTCAGTACACAGGTCATGACTTCGAATTGCAGTTTCATCAGATGTGTCCGTGCGTTTTTCGCTTTGGTTTTGTCGGCGAGTGTGTGTGCTGGTGCCGTTGAGTCCACATAGTATGACCCCCCTCATTCGTGCTGGCAGTTTTCGGAAGTGACCATTAGCTGAATATTGTTGCTTCCAACTTGCATTTCGGCATGGCAGGAAATCATTGCTAGTCTCCCAAAACGGCTGAAGGTGGTGGACCTGTCCGCGGTAAGCAAGCTTCTCCTCTTCTGCCTCCTTGTCCTCCTTTTTCCTCCTCCTCCTCCTCCTCCTCCTCCCCCTCCTCCTCCTCCTCCTACTACTACTACTACTACTACTAGTACTACTACTACTACTACTACTACTGCTAGTACTCCTAGTACTACTATTACTACTACTACCACTACTGAACATTGTCTCCTGACTTCTAAACCTCGTTTTTTCTTGTGTAAAGCTGTGTCATCTGCTTGTTCTCATCTTCCTTGTCTTTTTCCTGCTCCACGACATCATTTTTCTTCAAAAAATTGGGTCTCCTCTTCCTGCTCCTCAACATAATCTCATTGTTCTTCGTCATCATCAACTTACTATAGTTCTAATATGCCCAATGTCATCTTGTGGCCGAGGTGCCCACTGTCATCTTTTGGACGAGGTCTTATTTCTTCCTCTGGTGATTAGGCTGGGCGCAATAGCTGAGAACGAGAAAGGGATAACAAGATACCTGGTCCTGTAATCAGCAGGGACTGTATGATTGGATGTAAATGTGACCTTACCAGCAAAGGATCCAAGGTCACAACCTTTTCCAAAAAAATGTAGGGCACAGTTTCACCAGAACAAGTGCCGAGTGTATGAGTGCAGTAAGGAACAAGTATTATTCTCCCACACAACACCTCTTCAGAAAGAGGGCGGTAACACATGAACTTTCATGCTCGTTGATGAGTGTGTTCACACCTTAGTGTAGTGCAAACCATCTGCTGCGGTCTTGCGCACTGGAACACTCACAATTCTTACATACACTAACGAGAAATACGGCAGAAAGGCCACTCGAGTGGATAGAGTAAATCAGCAGGCTCGCTAGATGAAGCGTCGCTATCGATCGTCAGAGGCCATACGCCAGACGCACAGAAACTACCAATTGTGTGATGATATGGTCCAGTCCTCATGGTGCCATGAGGCGCAAGAGCGCGCATTGTTTTCGTCCGTGCACAGGTACACTGCGCTTGGTTGTACGCAACTTTACCTAACGCGCCCACTTTTTCCTTTTTTCCGAGTGTGTGTGTGTGTGTGTGTGTGTGTGTGTGTGTGTGTGTGTGTGTTGTGACGAGTGTGCAAACACACATATAATTCATCTTCAGCACAGTATAAGACCATGCACCGTATCACCGCAACCCTCCAGGAGGAAAGCATGCATCTGAGTGAGCCAAGCTAACAGACAATCCATAAAGAAGCAGTGCAGGTCCACTTGACATACAGAAGTCCGAAAGAAAAAACAAAGGCTGGAAGGCAAACAAATGGCACGAGGCAGCGAAGCAGGTGGGACAGTGAAGAAAAGGACATAGGCTGGAGGGCATGGGGGAGGTGGGTGGGTAGACGAACAGCACAAAGCAGCAAGAGTAGTAACGCAAAAACAAGGCAAACAAACAAAAAAAAAAAAGTACAAGTCCCAAAAAAAACACAGACTGAAAAAAATAAAACTGATGATGAAAGATTGTTTCTTTGGAGTTGCACCTACTCATCAGGAGGCTGAACCCTCGACAATCTGCGGAATCTCCGTATTTGATGCTTTGGGTCATGAACCCTTTGACCAATGTTGAAGGCAGACTGTCCCCAAGCGGAACATAGCAGCGGGCAGCAACCTTGCGGAGCACCAAGCAATGCAGTAGAGGCAACATGGCTGCACAACCCCAAAAATGACTGGAAGGAACAACATGGCACTCACGCAGTAGAGGCAACACGGCTGCACAACCCCAAAAATGATTGCAAGGAACAACACGGCACTCAGGATACACAACGAGGCAACACCACCAAGGCAACCACGAGCGGATGAGCAGCACAGCAACCATGCAGTGAAGCAAAAGGCAACACCAACAAGGCAACTGGACTACAAGGTGCGCAAGCAAAGAACACGGAAGGCACGACCAGCGGAAGGTGGCAAGGCAGAGGAGCAGCGAAGTGCAAGGCAACACCAACAACATGGCCACACCACACAGCGAAGAGAGCAGCTTGCCGAGAACGACCTGCAAAGCAAGCGGAACAGGCAGCAAGGCAGCGGCGGAGCGCAGACGAGGCAGTCCACACATCCGACACAAAGCAAAGTGGCACATCACCTACTCACATCACGGATGAACCCCGCAGACTGTTGGTTCCCACCACCCACTGAGCCAGGGAGTCGCTCCGACGGACATCCATCATCACCCGTAAGGCAGACAGACATCCCAAACTGAGCGCCCCCCTTAAGAGTGTTCTAAGCACTCCAGATGAGGAATGCCCGACTGTTTGGCACTACTTATGGGTGCGCAGCTCGGCACACAAAAAATACTCAGAAAAAATCAGAGAAAGGACAAACAGCAAGAGGCATACACAAAAATGATTGTGTGTGTGTGTGTGTGTGTGTGTGTGTGTGTGTGTGTGTGTGTGTGTGTGTGTGTGTGTGTGTGTGTGTGTG